CCTGAGGACTTTGTGAAAAATAAGTGATGGCTAGTGACTTAATATAACCTTAAATATAAAATATAAAAGTATAGATATAAAATATAAAAATAACATTAAATATAACCTCTTTTGAGTAATAAGAGCACTAGGAAATCCATAGCTTTATTTGTATTTTAGTTTTAAGAGACTCAAAGAAACTGAAGAGACTCTTATAAACTGACTATACTGCCAAAGAATTTCCACATGACATGAAATTTACAGATGACATTTTCTTCCTTTTCTACCATTGCTTCAGAGTTGTGTTTTTTAATCAAAACAAAAATATTTCCATTCTTTTTTAGTGCTTGCACACTGTGCTAATTTCAAATTCCTCTGCGTGAGAAGCTATCCCCTATTTTAAAGTAAGTATCAGCCTTACTGGCACATAATGATGGATGTTTATCTTGAATTTTTCTTTCTCTTCCTTCTCACAGTAAGACTGAGATATTGAGAAAATGGGATTTGAAGTAATAAAACTATCCAAAATGACCATATCAGCAGAGGATTCTTTGGTCAGTTGGTTCAATGCTATTCACTCCATTCCGTTCCCATTTCTGTAGCAGCTTCACTAGATTGGATGTGAAATGACCCAAGTATGTAGCTGTTTCCCTCTGTCACGACTGTAGCTGGGTTTGCTTGGACATTAAGGAATCAGCAAAGTAGAATAAAATAAATCCCAAATCTTCTTTGTAAGAGAGTAGCAGTAAAGAGGATTAGTTTTTGTCACCAAAACTTAGTAATAATATCAAATCCTTTATGAGGGTTTCCTATGTTAAGTGTTTTTCATATATAATTTCATTTCATCTACCATGGACCCCTCCATGGTCTTCTGAGGTGGGCACTATTACTACTCAGTTTTCCAGAGAGGATAACCAACTTGCTGGAGGTCAAAAAGCTAGTGAGAGTGCGGCCAGAGATTTAATCCGTGCAGTCTGGAGCAAGAGCTGAGGGTGACATCCCAGGATCTGATGCTTTGAGAGCTCCTTCCCGAGATGATTAGAATATGAAGCCACGGTTAAGACCCACCGACTGGTCCAGATGCTACATCGAGGTGCTTCAACTCAAAACACTTTCAGGATAAGGCAGTTAATATATCTGAAGCAAGCAGATACAGACCCCATCCTCTAACTTCTAGAATGGTACTAAATCTTTTACCTGCCAAGGAATCACCTGGGGAGATTGTTATAAATGCAAATTAATAAACCTCAGCCCCATAAAATCTTTGTTCAGTCTCCATCAAACCTACCTAGCGGCGCCTGGATGGCTCAGTCGTTAAGCGTCTGCCTTCAGCTCAGGTCATGATCCCAGGGTCCTGGGATCGAGCCCCACATCGGGCTCCCTGCTCAACAGGAAACCTGCTTCTCCCTCTCCCACTCCCCCTGCTTGTGTTCCCTCTCTCACTGTGTCTCTGTCAAATAAATAAATAAAATCTTAAAAAAAAAAAACTACCTACATTTTATTTTTAAATGCAAATTTCTGGGTCCATGATAACCACTGCTCTAAAATCACTTTACATGCTAATACATTTTAGTATTCTCAGATTTTGAGTCTGGGCTCTCAAATAGGAGATGATCATTTTATTCATTCGAGAAATATTTCCTGAGCATCTATTATAAAAAAGGAATGTGTAGGCATTGGGTAAACAGCAGGGAATAAATCCAACTCCTTCCCCAAGGAGTTCATATGCTGCTGGGGAAGGGAAACAGTATGAGCAAATAAATATATGTCACATGGGTAAGTGCAAGGGAGAAAAGTCAGTCAGGGGTAGGCTTTCTGATAGGGTCACATTGCTACAAAGGATGTGAGAGAGCGAACCATGGAACCTGGATAGAGCTCAACAATGTCCAGACTGAAGAAACAACAGAAAAGTACAAAGTCTGTGAAGGGAGAGCTTGCATGGTATGTTGAAAAGACAAGGAGACCAGTGTTTGGACAAGAGAGAGAGAAGAAAAGTAGTAGTATAAAATGTCGAAGAGGTGGTAAGGAAATGGACCATATTGAGTGCTGAAGGCCAGGTAATCTCAACTCTGTGTGACATTAGAAAACACTGGAAAATGACATTATCTGCCTTATGTTTTAACGGATCAGCCTAGATACTGTATAGAGGATATACTGTGTGGGGAAACTGTAGGAACAGGAAGACCAACTGGGGAGCTATCGCTGTAGTTCAGGCAAAAGAAGATGGTAGCATGACCAGTGGTTAAGAAGTAGTCAAATTCTGGATATATTTTAATGAGCGTACCATGATGATTTTTTCAAATGGACTGGATATGGGCCATGAATGAAGAGAGGGATCAAGGATGACTAGATCTAATGTTTTGGCATTTAGAGCTTAGTAAATTTGGTATAGGTAAAATACACTCCCAGCAAGTTCCTAGCCGGGTACCAGTGTGAAGCTTGTTTTATTTATAACTTAAGCAACATCTTCCATGGAGCACTGAAGGCAAAATACAGGAGTACATATCATCCAAATGACTGTGATTCATTAAAACCCATATTCTTCCTGACTTGAAACACTGAAAACAAGACAATTATTTCATTACCAGTAACTAGAGTAGGAAAAGGTAAAAAGAGCTAATTTTCTCAGTGATATTAATATCAGGAGGGAGTTGATTTTTAATACCAGAAAAATACAAATTTTTCCTGTAGTAATTAATGCTTCTAATAATTCTTGAGTATGTGGAGATATTGGAATCATTTTACATTCATCATTAACAATAAAAAAAAACAAGAAAGTACTTCAAATAAGAGCCAAAAGGTGGACAGTCCATGGAAAATTCCCCTGCTCTATTTCTTCCATCTTCAGAGTTTACATCCTACCATTTTGGATCAAATTTCTGCATTTTTAAAAAGTACTATTAGTTACATAAAATATTCTGTTTTGTGTGCCTAATATAAAAATCCACCTTGCTACTCTTTGTCGAGATAAATAAAAGGTTTGTATCTACTAAAGATATAAGAACTTTGTTAATAAGAGCAGTGTAACCTGTTGCATTTTTCATGTATAGTTAAGTTTTGTTCAAAGCCTATAGTATCCCTTAGGTTAGGAACAATGAATTGTTTTAAAAGTAACTCCCCTATTTGGCTCTTGTCTTCTTGCCCTATTTCAAAAGATTGGGTCCTATGTCTGTCTTTTATTTTAAACCATCTGAAATTCTTTGTGGATACAGATACCGTATGAATAATAAATGAATGTAAATGTATGAGCTGACTTTTAAATACATACCTATTTTGTACTCTGTATTCTTTTTCTTAAGCTCCATTCAAGCTTTGATCATTGTGCAGAAATATTTGTCAATGATTCCAAAATTTAAGTACAAGTTTATTGCTCCTAAACCTAATCTAATGGGAATAAACACACAGGATTTCCTATCTAACCAAATAAAACCACAACTATGCCTACCCACTGCAAGCTATGTTTTCATGTGACTCACAAGTTAATACTTTTGATTTTAAAATGTGTTCTCTTTCCTAATTACTGTTACGGAAGCTTGAGACAAAAAGTCATTTAAAAAGTAGCTAATTTGGTACAAGATTTTAAATTCTAGAAGGACTCTGCCCTCCAATGGAGGACAAAAATCTGCTGAGGAATAGAGTAATATGTAAAAACAAACTGACACTTATCTGCAAGTTCATATTTCAAAGAAGGGAAAAATCATTCTGAAGGAATAGGAAAAAAAAAAAAAAGGTATATACCAGAGATTCAGGGTTGTATATAAAAATGTACTTGTTTAGGGCACCTGGGTGGCTCAGTCGTTAAGCGTCTGCCTTCGGCTCGGATCATGATCCCAGGGTCCTGGGATCGAGTCCCATATCGGGCTCCCTGCTCAGAGGAAGCCTGCTTCTCCCTCTCCCACTCCCCCTGCTTGTGTTCCTGCTCTCGCTGTCTCTCTGTCAAATAAATAAATAATCTTGAAAAAAAAATGTACTTGTTTAGAAACTGTAACAATATTTGATGGAATATATTAATAGATGATAAGAAGGCTTTCAATGAACACATGCTCCAAATCTTCAGACTATTGTCAACAGATGAAATGAAAGAAACTTTTCACACAAGTTGAAAACGTCTTAAAAATGTCTTTCTTTGGTAGTTGTGGACTAGGTTGTCAGGTAAATTCTAATATAGTACCCTGCAAAGTGAACTCAAAGCATAGAATAAAACCAAGCATGTGCACGCACACGTGCACACACATGTGCATGCTATACCAATGTGCCTTTATGGCCTAGATTTCAAGGGGAAAAAATAGACAGTCTCTGAACTATCCATGTTTCACCAGCTGGCACATCTGAGGGAGAGCTCCCATATACATTAATGCATTATCCTTATCACTGTAATTGATACCTAACACTGTTCTCAATCCATCATATGCAGTCCTGAATGGAAGGACATTTATCTCCATGTAAGATGACCATCACTTCGAAACCCTAAGTGATCTCAAATTTCTTAAATCACAATACTGCAGAGAAAAATAATACATGGTGCTACTGATTCATTCCCTGGCTGCCAGATGAAGATGTGATCTCACATACCTGAGCACACTGCAGACTTCCTGTTTAGTGAGTTCTGATACTATTTCCAAGTACCAGAGGGAAGAGAAGAAAGATTACTAGGCCCAGATTTTACCAGCTGACTAGGTCTTTTTCCTGGAGTGGGAAGGAGGCTTTGACGCCATCCAGAGATCCTGCAGGGCAAACACGGGAAGACATATCTTTATTTCCCCTCTAATGATGTTTTAGAACTTTAGGGTGACTCATCATGGCCATCATAAAGCCTTTTTTGTAATGAAAAGCCTTACAGGAGGCATTCTCCTTTCTTACATTAACATAAATTCTTCTTTTTCTACAATGAGTCCTTTGAAGCATTAAAGAATATCTCAAGACAACTGTGTCATGGCAGAGTCCTAATCTGTACTAAAAGTTGGACAGGTCTTCAAAATTCTCATCACCTAAGAACCTCCAGTAGAAACAATGAAACCAGGTCCCAGGGGCTTCAGATTTATTTAAAGGGAAAATAACACCAGACAAATCACAGACTAAAGCAATAATAATAAAATATTATTATGAATAACTATAAGGCGATAAAGTCAACAAAATAGGTAACATGCATACATTCCTATAAAAAATTCCAAAACTGTTTACAGTAAGAAATAGAACACTTAAATAGACCAAAAATCAAGATAAAAATAGAAAGTGAAATAATCAGAGAATTCCCTAAAAAGTTACTTACGCTGAGTAATTACAAACAAGTTTCTCCTTCTATATGTATTGTTATAAAGAACAAGGTCTACTTTATAAAGTGACAAAAGTTGCAGAAATATATTTATAGCATGATGTTATTTTTAAAAAGTATACATACACATATTTACCCATTCTTAGGGAAAACAGTCTGGAAAATTATACACCAAACTGTTAAAAGTGGTTTCCTCTGGGGTACTAGTTAGAGTAAGAATTAGTTCAACTTCATATACTTCATGCTGTTTCAGTTCTTACAAATACGTATTACTTTTATTTAAAAGAATTCTGGATAAAAACAAAACTTGGTGAAATACATGGTCAAAATTCAAAACACTGAAAATAATCAGAAGAATCCAGCTATTTCCCCAGATACCAAGGAAAGCTTCCAGAAAGTGTAGAAGAGAATTGGCTGGATTGAGAGTCACAAATAGTGACAAACTCATGCTTTGACTTTGGAAACAGACGAGCACAGCTGGTTAAAGATTCTGGCCCATCTCTGTGACCTGCAAGTAGCTACAGCCCAGGAACTATATGGACTCAGAAACTGCGTAGCCAGTGCCCCATTGTGTGGAGACTGCTTTCTCAGGTAGACAGAGGTGTATTCAGCTTCTTCTATTCCATTCACACCAGCCTCTCTATATTCATTCAGAAACAACTCCCAATGTGCAACACGGCCTGGTATAAAAAAAAAGAAAGGGGGGAGGAGGGGGAATTATGCACTGCATCTCGGCCGGTATAGTTCCCTCAAATAAAGCAGTATAATGGAGTGCAGGGACAGAAAGAGCATGTGAGCAGTGCACTTTTCATTATTGTGTAATCGACTGCCTCAGATTTTCTAAGCTATGCCTTCTCTTCCTCATACTGAACAGGGCAGGGGCTAAAGAGACAATCCAGTAGTATCTAATGGATGCTGCAGAGAATGGAATTTGAGCAAAAGGCTATACACAAACTACATGCTTAAATTTATGTAATTTTATATCTGACAGGAAGGCTACCATTATTCACATGGACAGTAAAGGGGACGTGGCTCAAATCGGGGCACAGTGAATGCCTGTCTACTTGTTGCTCCAGATACAGAATTCTCCTAGCTTTCCCGGGTCCTGATAAAGGTAAGATGCACACATCATTACTGGATAAACACTAGGTATTAATAGAACTCTTCTTGTTCAAAGCTGAAAAGCTAAAAAACAAATGAGGACAATGTGAGGGTTTATTTAAAAAAAAGAGAAAAGAGCAATGACCTATCCCAGTAAAGATTCATGTGAGGAGTTTTATTTTATCAACTTGGAGACAGCACTGTGACCTGACGTACCTTCTGACCCCTCCTCTTCTAGACTCGGTGCCTCCTGAAGAGAAAATGGCTCTCTGGCCTTCGTATCCCCAGCATACCATTGATACTGAAATCAATCAGTTCATTCACAGGGTTCCTAAAACTTTTCCCTGAAGATGTTTTGAACTAAGAGTTTACACCCAAAACAGCAGCATCAGCCTCTTTTTCTACCATCTCTGACAAGATGGTAATTCAGTGATGGGAGATGGGTAGTTAGGTCTGGGGATGGGCTAATGTACTCAGGAACTAGAATTTGGAATTATTATGAGCAGAGGAAATCGAGTATTTGAACCTTTTTTGCCAATAAAATGTTAAAAGCCTTTTGAGAGTGTAAGAAAACATAACACTGACTCCTCTCATAATCTGTTTCCAATGTTACTTCAAATACGTAAGGGAGGACTCATTTGCAGAAAACCCCATGCTAGCTTGTTGCCCCAGAATCCTGGCATGGTTGGCAGTGCAGCCTCTGAACACAGATTACCAGAACACACGTACTGACTAGCACTTAGTAACCGTGTGAACTTCGTGAAGTCAGCTCACCAAGCCTCAGTTTTATCAGGAAAATGGTTGTTGCGAAACTCAGATATATGTTAAATGCTTTGCACAGTTCCTGTTGTATAGACAGTCTTAAGTATCTGCTATATTGGCATTCCTGCTTTGATTCTTTGCCTGCAATCACACCTCAACTCAACAAAGGGCAAATAAAGAAAACAGGTGAAATATGTACATTAATTTATTCTTCACTAATACTGAACTAGGCATATGTGTATGTCTTAGTCTTTACCAAATAATATACATACGTCTATACATATATACAAATATATACAAGTATTTGTATAAAACTGAATATTCATGATTTTAAATTTCACAAACACTGTCAGATAAAAAGCGGACTACTCTTTGAGTTAATATCTCATTCCATGTTCAGTCTGAAATATATATTACGTAAGACTATTAAAAAAGGGTAATGTAAGTCAGTAACATTGTAATAAACCTGACTGCTTTATCAGATCAAGGTGCAATGCAATAACTTCTAATATCATGTAGAGAAACAAGCAATCAAAAGCACACAATTCAGGTCTTAGAAAATGGATTTATCCTAAATTGGTCTATAGCACCGGAAGACAGCAACTCTGCCACATACACCTAAAGTAAACCACTCCTGTTAAGTACGCTGTAGCTCACTCAGAAGAGCACTTCTCCACAAGACTACTTGTTTAAGCAGATCCCTTTGTGCAAAACCAAACCGCTAGCCGTTACATACTTTGCACTCAGTAAAAGCTGAGTGAGTTAACGTAAGGACGTTTTCTAACCCCATACCCATGCTAAAATCATTAACAATGCTGATATAAAAACCAGGGTAGGAAAAGAAGCCAAGCACAGATGGTGGCGGGCAGACAAATTAGTGGCTGACACATGGAAAAAACAACAAGGAAAGTGATTTTTAGTGTAGGGTACAGAACAGGTTCTCCGAAAGGGCTGCAAGGGGTAAATGAAGACAGTCCTTCTTTATTCCCCTTTCTCCTTTATGCCCCTAGCCGCCACCATACTGGAAATTTTGAGCAAAAGGAACATTTTTAACTTATTCACAAGAAGGCATTAAGATAACACAATGTTATTTGTGAAAAAAATTTACACTGTGGTTAAAATGAAAGGTAAACTATATAGTTAAACCTTTTACATGTTTTATAACAATCTCACAGAAAATAATGTTTTCTAAAATTACAGTATTTTACATATGCTAAGCTGAATGACAATATTAGATTACATCTTCTGCAACTGTGGTGTCAAAAATCTGATAGCAAATTTGCTGCTCTGTTCCACTTGTGACATTATACGACTTGATGAAGCATTCCAACCACGGATATGCATCTACAAATGAGAAAAAAATGTTACTTAACCATTAAAACTAAACAAATACCTCTGAAATATGTATCTAAGCATAATGCTTAGCTAGAAAAATTAAAATTTAATTTAGCTTGAAAGGTAAATACACTTACCAAATTTAATATTATCTACTCTTCCAAATACACACTGGTTTCTTGTTACTGTTTTGTAACAATCCTAATTTGATTTTTTTTCCAACAGAAAACAATAATTAAATGTAGGGTTTTCCAAATGTTTGACAACAAAGGCAGCAGCCATCTCATTCCCAACTTTTCTTCCTTTTCTTCCTGCTGCTGACCTCCCCAGGTTTTTTTGTTTGTTTGTTTTTCTTTTTTTTCTTGGTTGACTGCAAAGAAACCGAACCTGAGGTTCACATCAGCTCAGGCTCTTATACACCTGACTAGCTGAAACTCCCATCAGGTACCAGGCACTGAGTCCAGACAATGTTGGCAGCTGTAGGTGCTATTTCCAAGCTTCGGTCATGACAGCAATAAATCTATTTAATATTTCTAGAAAAGTTTCTTAATGCTTCTTCAAGTTCAAGTTTAAAAGTCACTTAATATAGTCAATATTGGCAAGAGTCAAGCAAGACAGGCACTCTCCTCCACTGCTGGTAGAACTATAAATAGGTAAAATATTCTTGAAAAGCAATCTGGCAGCATGTATCAAAAGCCTACCAAACCCGTGCTTTTTAATGAGACGTTTATTTCAAGAAATCTATCCAAAAGAATTAAAACCAAAATCAAAGCTGCCATCAAATAAAAGTATGTAAGTTAAACCTTGTTACAGATGTATAAAAGCTATCTTTTTGGAATTGTTACAAAATTCAAAGACTGACCAGGGGAAAATAAAGGCCGATTAAAAATAACCTAAAAAAATTAAACTGACAGCAGCTAAACCTGCAGCTGGCAAAATTTGTTACTGATGAAAAATTGTTAGAAGAATCAAACTGTCTTACTATGATTGAGGTCTTCAAATTTCAATGTAAGCAGAAATAATGGCCACAAAAGGAAGTCAGTGGCAGTAGATGTAATTGATACAATTTGACCTGAACATCTGGTTGATGAATCAAATGTTATCCAGACAACTACAGCTGATAAAAAACAATTAGTAAAATAAAAATGCATAAAACCTGAAACTAGTTAATATTATGATATTAATAATATGAACAGAAATTCATGAATGAATTAAACTGGCTAAATGAAGCCTGTTATAGAAAATGTTTGTCAAAATTTCAAATGTTTGTATGCATAAAAACAGTATCAAATGTCCTTGTGATCAAAACTGCCTCCCGTTTATTACATTTCAAAAAATTTAAATATCTTTTCATTTCAGGAACTATGATTCTTAACTATTTTCTCCCTGCCATTGTCTTCATCAAAAGGCAGATCAGACAATAATTTATTTAGATTCAGACTTCAAAAGTTTCATACCTCTAAGTCTACAGATTAGATACATGTTAAATACTGTTTCAAGAAAAAGAATGATGAGATTGTTAAAAAATATTATTGCCTACCAATTTTTATTCCTGAAGGACAAAACATATCCAAGATCATATCCATACTCTGCTGAAGGCCATCATTGATTAGGATTTCTGATGCTGGGATCTGGAAGAATTTGTCCTTAAAAAAAATTATAGAAGAAAAAAGGAAATTAATCTTTTTTTTTTTTTTTAAAGATTTTATTTATTTGAGAAAGAGAGAGCACTACCAGGGGGAGGGGGGAGGAAGGGGGAGGGGGTGAAGCAGACTCCCCACTGAGCAGGGAGCCCAACAACAGGCTCGATCCCAGGACCCTGAGATCATGACTTGAGCTGAAGGCAGATACTCAACCGACTGAGCCACCCAGGTGCCCCGGAAGTTGATCTTTTTTTTAAAGTCATAATTAATATGAAAAGTATTTCAATATTATCTAATTAAAATAATCTAGACTATTTTATTCTATCAAGATTGTAGAATTCAGAGTTCTAGTCTGAACTCTTAAAATATGATTTACTACTTTAATCTAAAAACAGTATTGAGATATACATATAAAAAATCCCATTAACTGCTCTGACTTAATGATAGTAAGAATAATGGTATTTAGAAAAGAGTGAGGTCTATCATTCTCTTTGTGTATAGGAAAAAATCTAGTGTTAAGTTTAAAAGAGTATAACATATGTTGTATATTTATTTTTCTTTCCTCTATCAGTTTATACTATACTTTCTTGAAAGAAGGGATTTTGTTTGCTTTGTTCACTGCTATAACCCCATCATATACAACAGTACCTAGCACACAGCAGGTGCTCATTAAATATTTATTCGATAAATGGACAAATGAATTGTTTAGGTGGGAGGAAAAATTCTCTCAACCTTATCCCAGATTGTTTCCCAATGTGTGCAGTAAAAAAATTCGACCTTACCACTAACAGAAATCTGGCATCTGCCCTTGGCTTCTGGAAATAATCTTTAAGCCCTTCGAATATGCCTGTTAGGAATGTCCTTGTTTGTCACACTAGAGATACAGGGTGCGGAGGTTGGGGAATGTGATATTAGCTTGATCTTCAGAGGGGCTGAAAACTGAGATCAGCCATATGGGCTGTCAACCATGACTACATGACAGAGCCCCAGTGAAAACTCTAGACACTAAGGCTCAGTGAGGCTTCCCTGGCTCTCAATACACAATACATGTGTACTGTGACACATCATTATCAGGCTGGTAACACTGTCTGCTACTCCATGGGAAGAGGACAACTGGATGCTCCATGTTTGGAACTTCCTGGACTCTGCCCTATGCAGCTCTTCCCTTGGATGATTTTGATTTGTATCCTTTAGGTGTAATAAACCGTAATAGCATTTATAACTTATAGGAAGTTACTGGGAGTCTTTCTAGTGGATTATCAAAACTTAAGGGTGGTACTGAGAACCCCCAAGCTTGGAACTGTTGTTAGAAATGAGGGAGGTTTATGGATAGCTCCCTAGCTTCACACAATATAGCCACCGACCTTCCAAAGTAATTTAGTCCCCTTTAATATGGAAATGTGGAGACTTCAAAAACCTAGTGAAATGCTGCTAGACAGAAGGTGTGCTCACACCTCTGCCTTTGGCTCCTGGAGCAAAACTGAAGAGTCTCTCCTCAAATTCCTATTCTTCAATTTATCATTACATGGATATTAAATTTAGAGTCAAATCAAAACAGGATAAATATACAGACACCTTAATTTATGTGCTTGCATTTTATTTTTTTAAGTTGTCTTAAATCCTCTCAGTAATAAAGTAGGAATGAATAAATACATTAAAATTAAAAAAATATTTTACTTAGAAATATCTACACTACCTCTGTTACTTACAGAATCCATGAGATAAGCTTCCAATACTCCTGTTCCATCATCAAGAGTAAATGTCATTACAAACACATGTTGAAGGGGTACAATACCCAGTACTAGTGAAGGGAAAAAAGATCAAACCATATGAATCTTCTATTCCATAAAATCAAAGTAAAGTAAAAATTGTTGTATGATATTGTTAGTTTTGTTTATTAAAATAATTTAAGATAAACAACTTATATATATGCCTTTTGTTCTCCAATAACAATATATATTAAACTCATTTAGCAGATTCATTTTAGAACATTACACTATACCTAAATAGCGGCAATGACTCATGAGCATTGATGAAATATTAATATAATGTATCTTTAAAATGAGTTGATAACTTGATAGAAAACATAAAAACTCATTCATGTACTACAATTCATTGCATGTTAGCCTCATAAAAGACAAAATTAAAATACCAGAATGTTCTAAAAAAATTTATGATTTTGTAACGTCTCTCCCCTTTGTATTATAAATATAGGGATCACTTATTTTTTAAGATATCATCTAGTTGAATGGACAAAAATGTCAGAAGATGGGATTTCATGATTTGATAAGATGAGGAAGAAGAAATTAAAGAGATATTAAATGATATGAAAATTCATAGGTTAAAATGGTACTTTGTGTTTGGAAATGGGAGACATTTAATATGTTTATAAAATGAAATACTGTCTTTCATTTGTGGAATCCATATTTAAAAGGATTAATTAAGGGACAAGTAAGAAGAATAAATCAGAGTACAGAGAAATGAATTAGGGCATACAGACATGACAAATATTGTTAATACAGAGGACTTGATTTGTAGGATTCTAAAGGTCTCCATAGGTTAAAACTGAGCTAATACCAAGAAGGGTGAATGTAAAATCTACCCTGAGGGACCACACACACAAAGAATTGCATTAAGAATGGGATGGGGAGACCACGCTGGAAAGCAGGGAGCTCAAATGAAAGGAACCTGGAATTTCACTGGACCACAAACAAAATATGAGATAGCAGTATCATACAGTTAGATTGCAAAGAAAAAAAAAAAACAAAACCAAGTACAAAAATAAATATCGATACAATAAAATTTTCAGGCTAGTAGAAGCAAAGTGTCCAATTTTAGAGAAATAAAGGTTTTCTTTATATTCTGAACTGTCCAACATTTGCAGCCCTATTTGCAGCTTTTAATGCCAAACTTTGAGAACATTGGTAAAATGAAATGTTTACTAAGGAGGAAAACAAAATAGTAGGGAATGTGGGAAAATACCAAATGAAGTGAGGGTGCCTAGTTGGAAAAATAAAGACTCAGTGAAGGTTTGACAGATACCTTCAAATGTGCAAAGCCTGTTAATCTTACAGAAGGCATGTATTCTAATTCTAGTGGACAGAATGTGGTCCGTAGTTTTGCTTCACTAAGAACTACTTAAAAATTAAGGGGTATGTTGCCTTGCAATGTAATGAGTCCCCTGTCAATGACAGAGTTTTAAGCCAGTGCTGGATGATCACAGTTAAAGAATATGATATAAAAAGTTTCTTATTATTCCAGCTAAAGATGTGTAGTGGGTAAAGAGCTGTAAAAGCCATCTCTAAAACTGTTTTTAATACAAAAATACTGTGAACTGGAGGGATTTTTCAGAATCTGTATTTATGATTAATAATCACTACTAAAACAAATTATTGAACATTAAATTGTAATGATTAAAGATACTGGCAGATCCTGGAAGCAAGTTTTCAAACATTTTAAACTTCACTTTATACTTTTATTATAATCACCGTGAACTGTTTTAAGTAAAGTTTAAACTTTAGCTCAGTCTTTGCTCTGGTTTTACAATATCAACAACTGAAATAGAATCAGTGAGGTGACCTTATACGAACACAGTTATAGTTGCAGGACACAGAAATTTGCTAACCTTCTGCCACAGAAGAAGGAATCCATGGTGTTTTATCAACCAGGGAATTTAGAGTTTTTATTGGTCTCAAAGTAGAACACTGTTTACATCTGAAATTAATGACAGAAAAAAACCATAGGCATTTAAAAATAATTATTATAACATTTAATTATAACTTATCTTCACTGTTCAAACATGCAGTTTGAAGTTAATTATTAAACAACAGTGTTGCACCTTTCATATTGTAATGCACATATTACAAGCAGAATTGTAAAAAAAATAAGCTTTTTACAACAGAAGCAATCAAAAAGATAGTATGGTTCAGAATAAACAACTAAGTTGAGAACAAGAGAGAGGGTCCAGATTCACATTGTTAATTAATTTGGCTGATTTTGTTGGCAAAACGAGAAAGTTGAAAGAGACATCTCTGAGGACTCTTTCATTTGATGGCTCTGTGATAACAGCTAAGGTCTTAAGTAAATATAACCAATAGGAGAAAACTATTCTCAATAAGGAAGTCGGTACTAGCAAGACTTTGAATAATATATTCAGTGAACACATATTTAGAGGTTCACAATTTATAATGCCTAATATTATACTTATCTTTTGTAATATAAGTCAATCTGAAACTATAAAATATACTAAAAATGCACGTTATTTAGTATAGGTATTTTGATTTATATACAAACATACTTTAAGTACAAGTAATTATTTTTTATATCATCATAAGATTAGATGTTGATAAGAAAATATACTTGAATAAAAATATAAAAATCAATGTCCAAAGGTTCATGCAGACTCCTTTTCATTTCTAATCTGGCGAAAAACAGAGGGTCCCTATATTAAATATTCTCCTCTTCCACCCTTCAAATACATAGATACTTCTTCTTTAACAGAAAAAGGCAATAGAATGAAGACATATTATTTCCTTAAAAACAGGCTGTGATATTAACTCTAGACATTGATAAAGCAAGTATGCAAGCTAAAAATTAAGTATACAAATTAAAATATAAGGGTAACAAGTAAAAATTAAGTACAGAATTCATTACTTCCGAATCAGTAAAAGTGGGAAAAGGGGAAAATTAAGAACATTTTTATAAATGAATCCAATAGAAGACTAGAGGAAAAAAATAAGCTAAATAATAACAAAAAAAGGGGAAAGAGTAGACGTGTGAGTGCAGAACATAAAACATAGAAATAAAACCTAAATATATCAGTAATTAACATATTTTAAACTCATCTATTAAAAAACTAAAATCTAGTCCTAATTATTTATTTATGAGACTTCCTAAAATGTAACAACAAAGAAACATGAAAGCAAACCATCAAGAGCCTCAAAATATACAAAGCAAATACTGACAGAATAAAAGATCACAAACATACCACCACAGAGGACATTAAGCACACTCTCTAAGTGATTAAACAGACAAAATTACAAAGGAAAAAGAAGTTTTGAATATGATTAACAAGCTTGTCTAACGGACATAACTAAACACTATTAAACATTAAACACAGCTATTAAAGAATACATGTTCTTTTTAAAATATAGGCAATATATACAAAATCTGAACAAACATTTTGGGATAAAGCAAAGCTAAATGAATCTCAAAGAATCATTATGATATATATCAAGCTATTTGGTTAAAAAGTAATCTAATTAAAATACAAAAAAGGGGCGCCTGGGTGGCTCAGTCGTTAAGCGT